AATAATCTGAGCCGTAGGAGATTCTGTCTAGGATTCTTCAAGATATTCAGGAAAATCTCTCAGAAAGATCAGGAGCCTTGAAAAAAAAAATCCAAGCTGGAAATCCTGAATTCCTCTGATCAGATGCCCGTGAGGCCCTTTCATGCTGGGGTGTGGTCAGACCCTTCAACCCTCTTCTGGAATATTGGTGGATGTGAAACCCACTGACCCCATGATCGGCATCTCCCCTGCGAAGCACTTCTGCACACAAGCCTCCAGCGGGCTGAGTCAAGTTCAGGGGGTTAATCCCATTTCAAGTCCAGGCACTTTCAAAATACGCCAGGCCTAGCTCTGCTCAAGGATTTACAAGCTTACACAACCAAAGTCTGTTAGGTGAGCCCGGCTCCCGCTACACACACACACGCGCGCGCACACGCACACGCGCACACACGCGCACACACACACGCACCAAATCTACACACTCTCCTTCTCCAAGCCCCAGTGAAAAAGAAACTCTACTCTTGGGGCAATTACAGAAGAGCAGAGTATTTTAGATTCGAGTAAAAGAAGGTCAAGCTCTAAATAAGGTCTGGGGTGTGGAGGCTTGGCTAACTCCCCAGAAAAATCGTACCGGCAGGCGGAATCTGGAGCAGCTGGATTGGTTGGCCAAGAAGGCAATTCCACTGCCGTGGAAAGGAGTCAACAGCAGGTGTCATAAGGCTCGCAGGCCTATCATTTACCAGACTATTTCTGTCTAGCGGGAGAAAGTTTATCCTCTGGGCAAGGACCAATCCACCAGGCTTCCCCTTCTCCGCTTTCCTAAATGGGAGTTTTTAATATAGTTCCCGTTTTGCTTCTGTACAGTGGGTGTGGCGGGGGAGTGGTTAAACTCATCCTTTGGCTCAGTGTGTTTACAAAACTTTAGTTAATCATATATAATATACATAATATGCACGTATATGTGCACATATACATGTCCACACACACACACCACTGCCTAATATTTACTTATTATTTTTATCTAAATCCAACTTTGTTAACTGAAATTTGTACTGGGGTAGCTGTGGATTCACACGCAGTGACAAGAAGTAACACTGAGAGACTCCTCGTACGCTCTGCCCTGTTTCCCCAAATGGCACCGTTCTGCAAAACTGTAACATCACACCCAGGACACTGACACCAATACACTCCATGTTGTTCAGATTCCCCTGGTTTCACTGGTGCTTGTGTGTGTGTATTATCACTCGTGTAGGTTCATGCCCTCCCCACAGAGATGTGGACGTTTCCAGCATCACAAGGATGCCTTGTGCTGCCCTTTTATGTCCATGCTGTCCTTCCCCCACCCCTCGGCCCACCTCACCCCGACCATAAGCACTAATCTCCCTCTAATTCTAAAATGGTTTCATTCCCCAAAGTTATATAAGTGAAATCATACAACATGAAACCCTCGGTACTGGCTTTATGCACTTCGCATATTTCCCTGGAGGTTCGTCCAGGTTGCTTGTACCCGTTTTTGTTCCTTTTCACTGCTGAGTAGTATTCCACAGTGTGGCGCACCCTGGTGTGCCCACTGAAGGACATCTGGGCTGATCCCATCACAAATAAGGTTTCCCTGGGGATTTCCCTGGTGGCACAGTGGTTATGAATCTGCCTTCCAATGCAGGGGACATGGGTTTGATCCCTAGTCAGGGAGCTAGATCCCACGTGCATGCCGCAACTAAGAGTTCGCATGCCACAACTAAGGAGCCCGCTGGCCGCAACTAAGGAGCACACATGCCTCAACTAAGACCCAGTGCAGTAAAAAGTAAATAAATAAATGTTTTAAAATAAATGTTTCCATTAACTTTCACGTGCAGGTTTTCTGTGAACGTTAAGTTTTTATTTCTCTGGGATAAATGCCCAAGAGTGTGATTGCTGGGGCATATGGTAATTTTATATTTAGTTTTTAAAGAAATCGCCAAAGTGTTTTCCAGAGTTTTACACTCACATCAGCAACGTACGAAGGATCCAGTTCTTCCCCACCCTCACCCTCACTAGTTGTTATCCCTCTTTCTTATTTTAGCCATTCTGATGGTCTGATTATGGCATTCAACATCTTTTCAGGGCTTTGCTCAACATCTTGATATTCTCTTGGGTGAAATGTCTGCTCATCTCTTTTGCCCATTTTAAAATGAGACTTTGGGGCTCCCCTGGTGGTGCAGTGGTTGAGAGTCCGCCTGCCGATGCAGGGGACACGGGTTCGTGCCCCAGTCCGGGAAGATCCCACATGCCGCAGAGCGGCTGGGCCCATGAGCCATGGCCGCTGAGCCTGCGCGTCCGGAGCCTGTGCTCCGCAACGGGAGAGGCCACGACGGTGAGAGGTCCGCGTACCGCAAAAAAAAAAAAAATCTGTACGTGATTATTCACAGCAGCACTTTTCATAATGGCCAAAAGGTGGAAACAACTTGAATTTCAACTGGTGAATGAAAAAATAAAATGTGGTATACCCACACAATGGAATAACAGTCAGCCACGAAAACGAATGAAGTAACTGATACAAACTTCAGCATGGATGGACCTTGGAAGTATGCTGAGTGGAAGAAGCCAGGCACAGAAGACCACATTTGTATGATTTCATTTATACAAAACGTCCACAAAAGGCAGATTAATAAAGACAGAAAGGTACATTAGTGGTTGCTAGAGGCGGGAAGGAGGTGGAATTGGAAGTGGCTGTAAGTGAGCATGATGCTTGTTTGCAGAGTGGAGATGTTCTGAAATGAGATGTGAGGCTGACTAGACAACTCTATACATACACAAAATTCATTGAACTGCATACTTAAAACAGATGGGTCTTAAGGTTTGTCAATTATCTCAATAAAATATATTAAATGCTTAAAAATTTTAAATTTACTAGCATCAAACTGGGTTTTCTTGTTGAGTTAATCAGAGGTTTGAAGGAGAATCGCAAAGGGAGTTATGTCCCTGATTCAATAACGAGGAGAATTTAAGAGAAAAATCTAAGAGAGGTTTGTGTCTAACGAGAGATCCACATTCCACCCTTTAAACCGCAACTACGGGAGCTGGAGAAGCCACATTCAGACCCACTGAGGCCAAAGCAGGGGGAGTGGGCTCATGGGACAGTGACCCCATGATGCCACACTGGAAGCTGGAAGCAGCACTGGATCATCTCCCTTTGGGGCTGGAGTATAGATAAGCAGACAAAGCAGAACGTGTGCCGAGAAGAATGCAAAACAGTGAATTCCACCCTGAGAGCCGGTGCGACCTCGGTGCCAGCGGCCAAACCAACATGGCACAGACATCAGGCTGGACTTTTCCAGGAACTGCCCCTCTTCAAAACCACCCACCCTCCCATTCTTCTGACTATGGTGGGAGAAATCATCTGTCCCACCCACACGCCCTCCCTTGGCCACAAATGCTTTCTCATGATGTGGGGCAATCCTTTTAAGGCAATGTAGAAACAAAGAGAGCGCCAGGCCAGGATCTTTCTAGAAACCAAAGCTAGAACATATCAAATACCAGAGCTAAAGGCCCCCCTGTTTTTTTTTACCATGTGGATCCCAGTACCTTCCAATAAATTCCCCTTTTTCCTGAAATTAATTTCAATTGAGTTTCAATCCCCTATAGTCAAGAGTCCTAACTAATTCCATTCACGTTTAAATCGTTTTCTGCTTAAATTGTCATCCGTTAGTTCTCCCACGACACACAAGGCTTAGTTCACTGAAAGTCGCACCTTTATCACAATTCGATGGTGTCAGGTGAGAGCAAAGGCTTTCTCTCAGCAGAGGCTGCCTCCACCCACCCACCCCACCTCCTTCCCATGACAAAAGTTAAACCATTCATCTGGGAATTCTAGACAAGCAGGCTGTTTCAGGATTACAGGGCAGAAGGCTAAGTCTGGGGAGTTTAAAGACTTGTCCAGCCCCCAGAAAAACAAACAAGTAAGTGGTGGCTATGGCTGTTATTATAAACCAACCCGATGCAATGTGATATAAAGCTTCTGAAATCCCAAAGAAACAGAGCAATTTGGCAAAGGCCATCTAAAGGGCTTTTGCAAGATCTCTCCTGTTGTTCATTACACTTTGGTTTAATCATGTTTGGATTAGCAAAACCTGAAGCATGTGTCATTGTCTTTACGAAAATCAGCTACTCGAATTGCTGAGAATTAAATTAACCAGGGGATGGAGACAACACAAATTCACTGTTTTCTTTTTTATTTCAGTTTTATTTAGTAAAAATAGTTAGCTTATCAGGCTGGATAAAGCTATCATCACAGCTTTAGTCTAGGCAGGCTGGGTCCCTACAAACCTCTCTCCTGGCAGAGGAAGTTCAACATCCAGTTTCTCTGGGGGAAAAGCCAAAATGTTCACATAACGACGCATCAAACTCAGATCTTGGAACAAAACAGTGAGATCATATAGACCTGGCTACATCCTTAAGTTAAAGTCTAGAACTAAAACGAACAGGGATGCTGTGGAAAATGTGAAGAATTCTAACCCTCCTCACCATAATGAAAATGTCACTAAAATGGTAATAGTAGTAATAATGACAAAAACAACAGAAAAGGTAACAATAAACAATAATAAGGGAATTCCCTGGCGGTCCAGAGGTTAGGACTCCGAGCTTCTACTGCAGGGGCCACGGGTTCGATCCCTGGTTGGGGAACTAAGATCTTGCAAGCCATGCGGCATGGCCAAGTAAATTAATGAATTAATTAATTAAAAAAATATTAAAACCATTTAGCCCAAAGACATCTAGAGTCAGGGGTGTAACTGTACTCTGTAAAGGAGATTTGATTTAAATATTCATGAGTGGGTGCTCCCTCAAATGTGCATCTCCCTATTATTTTTCCCTCAATTCTACTCTGGTTGAATAAATACCACCTTGATCACCACAAGTGAATGACATAAATTAAATTATGATACTGAGAACAGACTTAACCACACAGTTGTGACAGCCTTTTACGCACAGACATTCAGGATGGAGGACTTGAACTGCACAGACATTTTTTAAATGCATCTTACCTAATATCTGAGAGGTCGCACTTGTTTCCAGCGATAGCCATCACAATGTTTTCCGGACCATGTTCTTTCAGTTCTTTCACCCATTTCTTCAAGGTATGAAATGAATCCTAAACCAAAAGTGTAAATCAATCTTGGGAAAGACCCATCAGTGTAATATCTGAACCATGTAGAAATACAAACCCAGTATTATTTAATGAAGAAAAATATCTTCAGGGGGCACACAAAGGTTAACATACTACCCCAACCTTGGCACAAAATTTATTATTAGCTAAGTTATACTTACAGAGCCTGTAAAAAGTTCCCCTTCTAAAATGGAAACTTGAAGTTAAGATAATCATATTAGTAATTTTCTTTTATAAATAACATTAATGTTAGCCTTACCTCAACTTGAGTGAAACAAAGCCATAGGACTGAACCAATGTTCATGCTTAATCAGAAAAGAAAAAATATATACATACACACACACACACACACGCACATAAACTCACGCTTTAGAGTCCTATTTTCCTAACTGCTCTTCCCTCACGATGACCTCCAGGAAACAGCCAAGGTAGCCACTCCATTTAGGAAGCAGTGGTCAGGAACTCACGGATGGTCACAGCATCGAATTAGTTAAAGCAGTTAACTAAGTTCAGTTAAGCAGGTCCGTTATTCATTGATGGGTATCTTGGGTCCTCAAAATGATAACTAAAAATACATTCATCCCATATACACGCAAACACACTATACATATATAAACATCATCCTTGGTGTTTCAAGTTGTATGGTTGAAACATTAATACGAAATAAGTATCTATAACCATCAAACATGCAAAATTTAAAAGTAATTTTCCTTTTCCTAAAAATCTGACATTCTGGAGACCAGTATTAGCAGGCATAACCTTGAGCTTACAAACAGTCAATTTTAAAAGCGAATGATCATTGTTGTTTATTTAATTTAGCAGGTAGATTTGAAAGGCTTAGCTACATATAGAAGAGAGAAACTCAAAATTTGGTGTTCACTCACCCCAACCAGCATACTGTGGAATCTCACCCCAGGCTGCTGGTGAGACTCACTGATGTCTCTGCCTTGGTCTTTCTAGGGGGATCACCATAAATGGCACCTAAATTCTAAAGGGGACCTTCTTACCTGTTTGGTAATATCATACACTATGACAGCTGCTGCGGATCCACGATAGTACATGGGAGCCAGTGAATGAAACTGTTTAGGAACAATGGATAGTTTTAGGCCAAAGTGAACATACTTTATGCAATCCCAAATTAAACATAAAATTATCACCCTACATCATCCCTATAGGATCCCTAGAATTTCCCCAGAATTCAGATCAGATGATAAATTTTCCTCCTCAACGGCACATTCCCTTGTAGTTTATAAACCATTAGATTCATTCTTGGGAAAAGCCAAAAATAAACGTTATTTTCAATGTTGCTATCCTATGAATTTTCTTTTCTCTACCACTCATCATTTACCTAATATGGTGGACCCAGGGCAATCTCATTAGGATGATACAGCAATAAGACGTTTGCCAGGGGAAGGAAAAGACAAGACTGGCACAAATCACACCACCCGGGCCTGGCTGCTAAGGAAAAGCACTGCAGCAAGGGCATCTCGGCCCCTGCCCTCGGGTCTGGAAGGCTGCCGTCCCACAAATTCACAACAAATGGTGAGAGAGATGAGCTTCGTTCCAAATGTGAACAGAGCAAGTGTTGCTGGTCATGAGAATCGTTCATCCCCAAGCAGGACAGATACTTATCCTGGGGATACATACAGATTTTATGTATATTTTGAAGAATATATCTTTAAATATATTTGAATATATCTGAAGCATATATCACGGAGGTGTTTTGAAAGACAATAAGAAAAAGATAATTCAGCTCAATAGAAAAATGAACAAAGGATATATATAGATAGATAAATCACAGAGGAAGAGTAATAAATTGTCAATAAATATTTTAAAATATGTTCAATGATAATAAAAGAAATGAAAATAAAAGCAATGATAGGGTATTCATTAATTTATTAAGTATTAAAAAGATCGATCATATCCAGGGTTGGTGTGGGTTTGGGGCAGGAGGCACTCATACACCACACAGGAAGGTATATTAAGACCTGTTTATGGAAAGATGCTCAACACCACTAACCATCAGGGAACTGCAAATCGAAACCACATGAGATATCACCTCGCACCTGTTAGAAGAGGTATTATTAAAAAGACAAGAAATAACAAGTGTTGGAGGGGATATGGAGAAAAGGGTACCCTCATACATTGTTGTCCGGAATGTAAATTGGTGTAGCCACTGTGGAAAACAGTATGGAGGTTGCTCAAAAGATTAAAAATAGAACTACTAAATGGTCCAGCAATTTCTCTTCTGGATATTTATCTGAAGAAAACAAAAACACTAACCTGAAAAGATATAATCGCCCTCATGTACACAACAGCATTATTTACAAAAGCCAAGACATGGAAAAACTACCAGTGTCCATCAACTGATAAATGGATCATCAATAAGATATGATACACACACACACACACACGCATACACACTCACATACACACACACACCACACACATATATAAACACACCACACACACAGGAATATTATTCAGCCATAAAAAAGAATGAAATCTTGCCATTTGCGATACCACGGAGGGAACTTGAGGGCATCATGCTAAGTGAAGTAAGTCAGTCTGAGAAAGATAAATACCATATTATCTCACTTACATGTGGATCTAAAAACAAAAACTGAATTCACAGATACAGAGAGCAGACTGGAGGTTGCCAGAGGCTGTGGGTAGGGGTGGGCATAATAGGTGAAGGTGGTCAAAAGGTACCAACTTCCGGGCTTCCCTGCCAATGCAGGGGACACGGGTTTGAGTCCTGGTCTGGGAAGATCCCACGTGCCGCGAAGCAACTAGGCCCGTGCGCCACAACTACTGAGCCTGAGCTCTAGAGCCCACGAGCCACAACTACTGAAGCCCGCGTGCCTAGAGCCCGTGCTTTGCAACAAGAGAAGCCACCGCAATGAGAAGCCCGCGCACCGCAACAAAGAGTAGCCCCCGCTCTCCGAGACTAGAGAAAGCCCCACGCAGCAACGAAGACCCAAAGCAGCCAAAAATAAATAAATAAAATAAATAAATTTATATTAAAAAAAAGGTATCAACTTCCAAGTATAAAATAAAAAAGGCAGGGGAGGGAATCAATAGCATAGTGACTATAGTTGATAATACTGTATTGTATATTTGAAAGTTCCTAAGAGAAAAGATCTTAAAAGTTCTCATCACAAGAAAAATGAATTGTAACTGTGCAGTGACGAATGTCACCTAGGATGTGAACTAGACTGTTTGTGGTGATCATTTCACAATACATACAAACACCGAATCACTATGTTGTAAACTGAAACTAACATAATGTGGTATGACAATTATACATCAATTTTTTTTAAAAGTCAAGTACATAGAAGCAAAGAACAGAGTGGTGGTTAGCAGGAACTGAGGGTGCTGGGTATGGGTGGCTGGGAACACATTGATCAAAGGGGACGAGGTTGCAGCTATGTGGGTAAGTCTAGAGATGGAATATACAGCGTGATGACTGTGGTGGATAATACTTGAACCTGGAAATTTGCCAAGAGAATAGATTTCACATGTTCTCACCACTTAAAAAGGGTAACTATGTGAAGAGAAAATATGCTAATTAGCTTGACTGCAGTAATCATTTCACTATGTATACATACATCAAATCATCGTGTTGCACACCTTAAACATATACAATTTTTATTAAAAAAAAAAAGAGATCTTCTTTCAAAGCTACTGTTGGTAACATATAACAAAAAGTTGAAATGTGCGTATCGTTTGACCCCAAAGTTCCACTTTTGTGATCGTCACACAAAGATCCTCATCCCTATGTGGTAAATGGGAGAAAAATATTCAAAACAACCCAAAGGTTCATCATAGAGAATTCATTAACGGTGTATGTATATCATGGAAATGCCACAACCATTAAAATGATGGTGAGGATTTTTATTTATAGGAAAAGATATCCTTGACATACCGTTAAATGAAAACAACAGTCTCAGAGCAGCAGACGCAGCATAATATAATTTTGGGTAAGATGTGTCTGGGTGGGTTCGTGTGTATAGGCATAACATAATGTTTCTCAAAATGTTGACAGTGGGATTTCTCATCACGTGTACCTTTTCCTCATAAGAGTCTGTACTGTATAAATTTTTACGATGATTTTTAAATGATTTTTAAATTTTCTAAAAGCAGCCATATTTCAGCCATAAAAAATAATGAAATAATTTTCAGCAACATGGAGGGATCTAGAGATTATCATACTGAGTGAATGTAAATCAAAGACAAATATCATATGATATCACTTATATGTGTAATCTAAAAGAATGATACAAATGAACTTACTTACAAAACAGAAACAGACTCACAGACATAGAAAACAAACTTATGGTTACCAAAGGGGAAAGGTGGGGGGAAGGGATAAATTAGGTGTTTGGGATTAACATATATACACTATTATATATAGAACAATCAACAAGGACCTACTTACTGTACAGCACAGGGAACTCTACTCCATATTCTGTAATAAACTAATCTGAAAAAGAATGGATATATGCATATGTACAACTGAATCACTTTGCTGTACACCTGAAACTAACACAACATTGTAAATCAACTACACTCCAATATAAAATAAAAATAAAATTTAAAAAAAGAAAAAGAAATCAAAATAAAAAGCAGCCATATTTACTGGGGAGTCGGGGGGAGGGGGGAGCAGGCAGAGAAAGTTCAGATCCTGATGTTTTTCTGGCAAACAACAAAACCATCGTTCATTTTTACTTCCCGTGCTATACCTTTCATTGAATCAACACTGGCCAAGTTGAAATGATCCTATTTGGAAATTGGAAGCACATCCAAAGCCGAGGATTCCTTTTACTGCAGGATGCTAGTGTGGCCTCACCAGAGTGTGCAAAGAAGCAGGCCACCCACCCCAGCCCCACGGCCCTCGTGCAAGTCTCCACCTTGATGAGAAACTGCCCTGCTCCTGTGTGGCTTTCGGAAAAGGGAATGGGTTGGATGGAGCTCAGGATGGACCCAGGAGTTCCCAGCTGGAGGACCATGGCCGCTGACCAGGAGTCACTGAGGACAGAGCCTTTCCATAGGCACTGGCTGCCCAGCTCTGTGTTTGTTGCCCTTGTCAGGCATCAAAAATCTATTTTTAGTCCATCCTTTGGCAACCCACTCCAGATGCAGAAACCAAAATCAGAATTCCTGCCATAAAGGAGAAAAAAGCCATGTATTTTTTAAAACATTCCTGC